AACCCTGGCTGTGCGGCAGCTGCTTCTTACCCTGGAGAGATGCCCATCTGAAGGATATGCCTCAGGACAACTACCCAACAGCATTCCCCAAGGCCAGCTGCCAGGCTGAGGTGGGTTTGTGGGAGGTGGCTGTGTACACACACATTCTACCTTTCTGTTTACCTATACCTACCACCTCCTCCTCCTTTCTCCCCTCCTCCTCTCTCCCCTCCTCCTCCTCCTTTCTCCCCTCCTCCTCTTCTTCCTCCTCCTCCACCTCCACTTTCTCTTTGGGAGTCTGAGAAAAGTTGACGCTTATGCAGAAACCCTCTGCCCATAGGAGATTCTTCGTGCAATTTCAGCATTCTGAGAAAGAGTTCTCTATGTAGCCCAGGCTAGCCTCAAACTCATGATTTTCCTGCCTCAGCCTCCCGAGTGCTAGGGTTACACTGCACCTGGCTTTGGCATATTATTTTAAGCCCCCTCCCCCCAAATCACCTCTTAGCAGGAGGAGGCTATGTGAGGGGTCTAAAGAGCCTTGCCCACACACCAGGCTACCCCGTTTTCCTCCAGTGAGATCTCCGGGGGGCCTTCAGGTTAAGGGGGGAATCCCAGTCCCCCTGCCTGGAGATGAGCTCTGGGTGGGGGAAGAGCCGACAGCCTGGGAACCGGTCTGCCAACCAGTTCAACAAGAGGCTGGTTTCAACTCAGGGAGTTCAAAGGAAGCTGGGATGCCCAGCCCGCTCTGGGAGCAGCGGGCCCTTAACCCTTTCTCTGTAGTGCCCTGGCAACATCCAGGGGGTGGCCGGAGCTGGAGAGGGGTCTGAACCTCTTTGGAAGATAAAATGGGTGGGGGTGGCTTTGGCGATGGCCTCAGAGTGCAACCAGGACCCCGAGGAGCTGGGAAACTGAGGAAGGAGGCTCCCGGGCTCCCCCATCCCAGACGTCCCTTGAGATTCGGTCCTCTAGCCTGGTGATCCCAGGAGGACGCTGGCTTCTGGGTGGATGCAGGGGCACTGGGATTGGATTTCTGGGCTGATGAATATTCATCAGCCTGAGCCGGCCTCTGCTTCTGTTTTCTTAGCTGGGAGGGGCCGGGTTTCAGGTTCACCTTGACTCCAGGAGCTCCTGCGCAGCCAGCAGGTACCTGCTCCTGCACCTGTTTCCCTCACACCTGCCCTGCAGCTGCTCCTACCCACCTCTCCAGGCTGAGTCTGGCCAGCGTGACACCCCGGAGACACCCTCTCCTCCTCCAGTCTCACCTGCAGCTCCTACATTCAGCTCCTCTAGGGAAAGTCTCACCTCCAGCACAGAGCAGTCCGGATTACAGGTACAGGCAGCAGGGACTGGTGGGTGGGGAAACTGTGACCCGACCAGGGTTCCCCCTCCTGCCTCCACGGTGGACAAGCCCAGCAGACCCTGTCTTCATCCAGCCTCACCCCACGGGCCTCTGGGAGAATGCCCAGGCCTCCAACAGAATTCCTGCCGAGAAAGTTTCACTATTAACTCTTATTCCACTCAAGACCATCCCCTCCGGCCCACAACCTGTGTGTGTCGGACCATCTGGTAGAAACATCGCCCACTTCCTACCCAGTCTCCTTCAGGGTGGTCAAGGGCCATTGAGGACCCTGCAGAGGAGGGGGAGCAGGTTCCACGATGCAGAACCCTTCCTTCCCTGCACCTCCACCTCTGACTCAGTCAATGGTTAACTCGTCCCGCTCAGAAGGAGCTAGGCCCACTCCGGACAAAGCCCTTCAGATAGTGCTCTAGCTGGGGTGACGGGACCTGTCTTGGGCACTTCTGTGCATGCCATGGTGCTAGCCACCCGAAGCAAGAGGTGGCAAGTTGTCTTACAAGGCCTTTCATGGGCCCTGAAGCCACACAAACAGCAGAGGTGGATTGGCATCCTTGGGACCTGATTTCCCTCATCCCACGGCTGCAAGGCCCAGGGCAAGGGACCAGCCCTCCAGCTGGCATCTCGGGGCCCTGTATACGCAGACAGCTGGTCTCACCAAATGTTAGATCTGTGTGTCCACTCCCAGGTCCGTCCGTCCCTGTGTCCAGTCCCCCACCCCCACCCTAACCTCCGGCTTTCCAGGATCATGCACCAGCATGTGACTGGAAACATTTTATTCTTTAGGACTCTGGAGAGCTGGGAAGCTTGTACACCAAGCCACTTTTTGCTGCTGTTGTTTGTTCATTTTGTTCATTTTTTAAGACAGGGTCTCACTTGGAGCCCAGGCTGAACTTGAGTCTTGTTGGGTAGATCAGGCTGGCTTTGAATTCACTGTGTATCTTGTCTGAGGTCGGAGATTCCAAGCGTAAACTCCTACACTTGGCTCATACCCCCTGCTCCTGTTTGTTTTTAGACAGTTTCTTTTCTTTCTCCTTTTTTGGTTTTTCAAGACAGGATTTCTCTCTGTGTAGCCCTGGCTGTCCTAGAACTCACTCTTTAAACCAGGCTGCCCTCAAACTCACAGAGATCCACCTGCCTCTGCCTCTCTAGTGCTGGGATTAGAGGCGTGCGCCGCCGCCGCCACCACCACGGGCTAGACAGAATATCTTTATGTAGTCCTGACTGACCTGGAGCTCCCTATGTAGAGTGGGCTGACTTTAAACTCACAGAGATCCTTCTGTCTCCACCTCCTGAGTGCTAGGATTTAAGGTGGGTGCCACCATGCCAGGCTATATTCTATATTGGTTTTTATGTGCACTAAAGACCGTTGAGGCTGAGTTATTATGCAAAAGAAAGAATAGTCCACTACTTAATCTGTTTTACAAAACCAGATTTCCATGTATTAGGCTTGCCTCAAGGGACAAACACTAGTTCAGGTGTTTAGGTGTCCTGGGCAGAGAGGACAGGAAGGCCAGCAAAAGCATCCATAAGAGTCCAGGGTCCAAGTCCAGGACACAGGACACCAAGGCAAGCATTAAGCTGTTCCCATTAACAATCTTCTAAGCAGTGCCTGTGACCTGTTGCTCCATCAACTTCAAGGAGAGGTAGGCTCTGGGAATGCCACCTTGAGATACAGTACTTTTTGTTTGTTTTTTGAGACAGGGTTTCTCTGTGTAACTTTGGAGTCTTCCCTGGAACTCACTCTTTAGCCCAGGCTGGCCTCGAATTCACAGAGATCTGCCTGCCTCTGCCTCCTGAATGCTGGGATTAAAGGCATGCAATACCACTGCCCAGTGAGATATAGTACCTCTTAAAATGGGTACATTTTAACTGGTATGGGCAGAAGCCTCTCTCCCGCATAGAGCTAGGAAGTCAGATGCTTAGAGCAGACGCAGGAGCTAGATCAGCCAGCCGCCTCTCTAGTCCCCCAAGTCTCTGGCGGCTCCAGATGGGCAGTGGTGGGTCGACAGGGCAGCTACTGAGCGGGCACCCTGTCCCTCCTTCCTTGCCCTCCTACAGCTCCTTCCAGTAACCCGCTCTGGAACACCCAGTTCTGTGCAAGGCTGTGCTAAGCCCAGGAGGGGCACACTGCCAAGGCAAACCTCTCAGGCTGTCCCTTGGTGCGCTCAATTCTCCAGGTGCCAGGAAGTACCCCTCCAGCCCTCACCCCTGCTCCCCAAGGGCCGCGTGTCCCTCCCCCACTCCCCCACCCCGCTCTAAGTGGGAGCTGCATAAGATCTCCATTAGCTTCTGTTACTTGGACTAGCTGAGAGGGTAGAATGGGCAGCCGGGGTCTGCTTCACGGACAAAGGAATGGGAAAGAGTCTCCTGGGCTGGGGGTGGGGTGTGGGGGGGGAGTAGGGAGCGTGTGTAAAGGGGTAGGAGTCACCACAAGGGGCAGCGGCAAGGGGCGTTCAGCTTGTTTCCAGTCTAGGCCAGTGTCTTGCTTTTGTTTTTTCTGAATGGGATATGCTCCCCTCACCCCAAATGCCCATATACATTATGGAAATTATGGAAATCAGAAAGCCAGAAAGAGAGAAAGCAGCACCCTGTATTTCTTCTACTTATTAAAAAAAAAACAAAACCCCACTGGTACTCAATTTGCATTTTTTTTTCTTTCTGGTGATTTTAGAAAATGTAATGAAGGCCATCAAGATTTGGAGGGTTTGGTGCTGTGGATTAAACCCAGAGTTTTGGTTATATTAGGCAAAGTCTCTGCCGCTTAGCTATGCTCCCAGCTCCCTCCATCATCAGCTTTTTAAAAATTACATTTCTGACGCCTTTAATCCCAGCACTTGGGAGGCAGAGATAGGAGGATCTCTTTGAGTTCAAGGCCAGCCTGGTCTACAGAGCGAGTTCCAGGACAGTGGGGGGGGCTACACAGAGAAACCCAGTCTTGAAAAACAAAAACAAACAAAAAAATATTTTTCCGTGTACATAAGGGGTGCATGCCGTGGCTTATTTGGCGAAGTCAGAGGACTTTTGAGAATCAATTCTCTTCTTCCAGCGTGTAGGCTCTAGAGATGGAACTCAGGCCCTCAGGTTTGGTGGCGGGTGGCGGGTGCATTTGTGTGCTGGCCGTCTCCCAAGCCCCCCCCCCCCATCAGCTTTTAAAGGAGGTGACACACGCAAGTCTGGGCTGCCTGGCCACCTAGCTTTCTGGGGTCTGTTAGCTTCCGTGCCCCCCTCCCCCAGTGTTGTCCCAGGGCATGACTAGGGTCATAAGACCAGACCTCCAACCTCCCTGGCCCAGAGGGGCCTTTGCTTATGTCGTTCAGCTCCCTCATAGAATTTAATCCCTCCAGGCTTCCGTCCCCCACATGCTACAGACATCTCTGTGGCCAGAGCGCTTCATTCCCTGGCTTTCCTCTAGCTCATATGTACCTTTGTGGAAATGAATAAAAGATGAGGTCTGTGTAGAGGTGGCTCCACGTCAGGGCACACAGCTTGTGAGCTGTGAAGCTTAGATTTCACCCCCAAATCCCACCTTACACCTTAGAGAAGGGTTCATACAGCACAGCCTGTGAGGATGGCGTCTCCCAGGCTCCGCCTGACTGCCTTGCAAATTTTTAACTCTCTTTCCAACACCTGTCCTGTGGCAGCTTGCTGGTGGGGAAAAGAACAGTCTGCTAATGATTACTCTGTCTCCTAAGTTTAACTTCGCAAAGCTGATCTACCCGGGTGGACAGGCAGTCACGGTTGGGCTGAGTGTTAGGACTGGATGGGACGGATAAGGACCCCGAGGCCCTGAGAAGTGACTTGGCCGAAGCCAAGAGTCTAGGCAGAGCTTCCCAGTCCTAGACCGCAGGTCCCAGCCCTCTCCTCAGGAAGGGCCCATGCTCCTCACCGTTGGGAACGACACATGTCTGGAACTATTGCAAATTCTATTTAATTTTGTCACGAGTTCCAAGCGAAACAGCCAGGGGGTTTCTGGCTGCGTGACCTGTCAATGGCCTGCCCACACTGGGCAGAGGTGGGAAAGACTGGTCATGGTGCCAAAGACCAGGCTATGTGTGTCTAGGTAAGGGGTTCCCCTAACCTGTAGCCTGAAGGCTTGGAAGGAAGGGCCTCAGATTTCTCTCTCCAGCATTGTAAGGCAATGGGGTGGAGTTGTCACGTTGTCCTTTGCCTGGCTCAGTGGCTTTCCCGTTAATGGCTGCTTTGAAGGCTCGTTTCCCAACCCTTCAGTCCTACTTTCAAATTTTTCTTTATAATAATTTGTTTGTTTGTTATTTTTGAGGCAGGGCCTGACTATGTAGCCCAGGCTAACCTCCAATTCCCAACCCTCCCAGCCCAGCCTCGGTGCTAGGATTCTAGGCGTTAACCAGCTCTTAAAACAGCCCGTAACTATGAATAAGCCTAGGGATGGCTGGTCCGAGTATCCATACACTCCACCCACTGACCTTTGTCTCTCCCCCTCAGTCCAGCAGAAAGCCTGGCCTGGGCTTAGGGACCGCCATGACTGAAGTCGGCTGGTGGAAGTTGACTTTCCTCCGGAAAAAGAAATCCACCCCCAAAGTGCTCTATGAAATCCCTGACACCTACGCCCAAACGGAGGGAGGTGCGGAGCCGCCCGGCCCCGACGCCGAAGGCCCTCACAGCGACTTTAACACCCGCCTGGAGAAGATTGTGGATAAGAACACCAAAGGCAAACACGTCAAAGTCTCCAACTCGGGCCGCTTTAAGGAGAAGAAAAAAGTCCGGGCCATGCTGGCAGAGAACCCCAACCTCTTTGACAGGGAGGACAAAGGACAATGAAGGCAGCCGAGGAGGACACTAGCACCTCCCTGCTCCCCGCCACTGGTGGGGTCTCAGGCAGGAGCTTGCCACGCTGGCCTCTTTGGTCATAGCTGAAGCCATGGTGGCAGGTGATGCCTGCTGGCAGGATCGCCTGGTTCTTAGGTTTGTATTTATGTGCCCCAGATTTATGAAGGGCCTGGGAGATCCCAGGGTCCTCCTCCCCATGATCACATACAAAGGCACTCTGGTCCAGGATGAAAAATGGCCACCTAGAAGTACAGCCGTCCTTGGCACAGTGGCTTGGCTCACGGGGAGGCAGCATGGCAGAGAACAGACTGGGAGCCTGACAGACCCCACCCTCTCCCTGGGCACAGGGTCAAGGGTGAACTTGGATCGTTGTTCCCTCTACTTTCTCTACCTGTGACTTGTTCCCCCGGACCAATCCGAGGAGAGCAGAGGTTCCAGAAGTCACGTGATAGCGGTTTCCTTGGTGACAGAGGCGGAGTTGTTGAACTTGAGATCACCTCTTAATTCAAGGAGTAAACTTCCTGGAACTTTGCTTCCCAGAGTGGAGGGGCAAAGGACACCGCACTGCCTGGGCTGCAGCAGAAGGCCAGATCAGAAATCCCTGAGTTATTGCCTCGACTGCCCCTTGTGTGGGTGCTGAATTACATAACCCCAAAGAGAAACCTCACTAGCCCAAGGGTCCAAACTGGAGGAATGGATGGAGTTTTCCTCTACCCGTTCCCAGATAGTATTTAAGATGGATCAGCCCCAGAAGTCAGTCCTGGAGCCTTGAATTTTGTTTGAAAAGTAATGGTAGGTTCTACCTAGTAATAAACAATGCTGCAGACACAGAGGTATTTCCGCTCTTACCTCACATGTATGGGGATGGCCACATCTCTACCTTCGTGCAAGTGAAGTGAGTCTTTGAGCTCTTCAGATCTCAGCAAGGGCCCCCAAGTGTGACCGTGTGGGCCTGTGTCAGTAATTCAGCCACCAAGCTAGGCTTCATATGGCAGGGGATAAGGGAAGGAGACAGACTCCCACACACACACACAACAGAGAGCCTGGGGCTCTAAGAGAATGGGGTGGACCGTTGGTGATGGACCCAAAGTCTCTGTAGTTCTCGGTGGTTCAGTTTGGGACCCAGATTTAAATTCTGGTGCCACCAGTTAATAGCCTGATGAGCTTGGGGACATTTCATAGACTTCTCTGTAAAGCCAGGTCTAAGGGCAAATCCCTATAATCTCAGCTCTTGCTGAGGCAGGAGGATTGTAGATTCATAGGTCAGCCTGGAGTATACAGGAAGGCCCTGTTTCAGGAAACATAACAGAAGTGCCTCAGAGTCTCAGATGATTTCCTTCCTTTTCCTTACAGAATGCCACCATGTCCACTGCTTTAGTTTAAGAAGCAGGAGAGAGCTCTCACCTGTAATATTAAGGTTCATGCCCAAGCCACAGGACCTGAGAACTGAAAAAACAAAAATAAAACAAAACAAAACAAAAACAGCCAAGCCGGGCTGTGGTGGCGCACACCTTTAATCCCAGCACTCGGGAGGCAGAGGCAGGCGGATCTCTGTGAGTTCAAGTCCAGCCTGGTCTACAGAGTGAGTCCAGGAAGGTGCAAAGCTACACAGAGAAACCCTGTCTCGAAAAGCCAAAAAAAAAAAAAACCAAAACAAACAAACAAAAAATAACAAAAACCAGCCAAATCCCTGGAGCTCATGGTGGGAAACACCAAGGTGGCCACTCAGCTATGTGGTCAGCAGCTTCCAGGTCAGCTCCTCAAAGTCGGCTGGGCCACCCCACCCTAGGGAGCTGTTGCTGAGGAAGTTTATTGCCAAAACAAACAGACCTGTACAAGGAGACCTTTGTCAGGTGCCTCGCCCAGGCCAGGGGAGCTCAGGGGATAAGGGAGGCAGACCGGGGGCTGAACGGAAAATAGACTCGGGGCCCTGCCTTTGCCTCAGCCTTTTGCACCCTCCCTTCTCCCCAGAACTTTCTCGGTCTCACTAGTTACCCAGTTCATAAAGTCTCCCACAGAGAGTGGAGATGTCTCCAGTCTTGCAACCTTGCTGTTAGCTACCACACACGCGGCTTACAACAGGCTGTCTTCCTAGTCCCCCATCCCCCAGCTCCCCATCACCGAGACAGCTGCCGTCAGCTCCATCTTCGAGTTAGCTGAGGGTCAGAGAGGTGAAATCCCCAGCCCTTAGTCAGGCACTTGGTTAAAGTGAGAGCTGGCCTGTATGTGTGAACCATGATGATGCCCTGCCCCCCAGCACCTTCCATTCATAAATCTCTTCGGTTGTGTGTTGGAGTGGTATGGACAGGAACAATCAGTTATCGTCTGTGGAACGGGACGGGCGGGGGTGGGTGGGGGCGGAATGAGACAGGACAATGTCTAGGTCTTAGGCCACTGGGAGGTGACGGCCACCAAGGGGAATGTGCAAGCTCTGGAAGCAATGGGAGAGAGCCAACCCATTAGGTTAGGGGCTGGGTGTCCTCTAAGACCCATACTGCGGGTCACATCAGCTCATCCCGAGATTACCTCACCCTGGAGAGGGAATGAAGATAGGTACTGGGTATAGATTCGTGTTTGTTTTTGCTTTTTTGAGACAGGAGCTCACACCGCAGCCCAAGTTGGAACTCACTATGTAGCCCAGGCTGACCTCAAACTGACTACAATCCTCCCGGCTCTAGCCTCCCAAGTGTTGGGATTACAGGCATGAACCATACCACCTGGCTTATTACACCCCTCCACAACCCACAACCCCCTGCCCAGTGCTGAGGATTGAATTTACACCTGCTAGACGACACACACACTCTACTGCTAAACTGTATCCCAAGCACTTCCTTCCGTGAGGTCCCGGGTCTCTAAGTCTTTTACAGGCACCATCACAGCCCCAGAATGATCTCTGCAGGAATCTTTCAGGGAGACAGTGCATGTCCCCCTAAACTGGAGGCCTGACTGGCTCCAGAGATCCAGCTGCCCCAGGGAGTCCCAAGCTGGGAAGCTGCAAGCTTGCAGGAGCCGCTAGGAGGAGGAGGAGGAGGAGGAGGAGGAGGAGGAGGAGAAGGAGGAACCGAGAGTGCAAATATGTGCAGGAGCTGGGAGAGGCCATGGTTATCAACCACAGTTTCACTGGGAAGCCACCCAAGCGGAGGAAGGGGGAGGCAGAAGGGGGAGGCAGAAGGGGCCGCCTGGAACTGGTCTCCACTGCCCAGCAAGGGTCAACCCTAGCCAGTGGGCTCCCCCTGCTGGACCCAACCTGTCTGGCCAGAAGCAAGGAAGGAGGAAAGTCCTGTAGATTCACTCACTCCGCAGCTTCCCTGTGGGCGGAGATACGCCTCTTCGTGGGGGCCGACAAAATGAAATCAGGTTAAACATTAATATCACACATGACCAACAAGTTTTTATTACACACTTACTTGCATGTTGGAAATGACAGCTGAGATCACGCTAAAAACTGGGGACACACAACCCCCTAAAAGAGGAGGGGGTACAACAAGGTATTCTCTTCAACAACTCATTTGCATGTACTAATAAAGTCACAGTCGGGGGCCACAGGGTCAATGTCCTTCTGGACCCAGGCGTAAGTGGGGGGTCGACACAAGAAAGGACTGCCTTGGGGGAGCCCTGGTCAGCGACAGAGGATGAAGCACACACCCATCAGGTCAAAACAAGCACAGTGTCCAGAGTGACGAGTTCAAGGCCAACCAGAACAAACAGTAGTTCTCTGATCCTGGCTGAGTCACAGCCAACGTAGACTGGCCCTGGCTCCTTTCCAAGGCTGGTATGCCACGCACATCTGCGGCCTGATTATTCTGTTGCTGGAAACTGAGGCATACCCGCTACTGCCCCCAAGAGGGGCTGTTCCAAAAACCACAAGCAAAGCAAAGGGGGATCATTGCGAGATTCTTGGCCATTTGTGACTCTCCAGGACACGAGCACACTCTACTCCGGCTGCTAGATGCCAGCTGAGTTCCAGAGCTCACAGGGTGAGTCCTGGGGAGACTTCGATATAAGTTTCCCTTGGAGAAGGGAAACAGGGCTCAGTTTAAAAGTAAGGACTAGAGCTGGGCCTGGTGGGTCAAGCCTGAGATCACCGCGACTCAAAAGTTCCAGCGTCGAGGGTTGTCTGGCATACAGACACAGGGAGTTCAAGGCCAGCCTAGGCAACTTAGTCCCAAAAGAAAAGGTTAAGAAAAAATACTGGGACTATAGCTCAGTGGTAGAGTGTTGCCTAGCATGAGCAAGGTCCTAGGTTTAAACCCAAGTGCCCCCTCACACGCAGAGAAAGGTAGACCCCGCTCCCAGTCCTTCACCCTCTCTTAGCAGAGCCCCCCCCACTCTCCTTCAGCTGATGATCCCCCAACATTCCGAATCCAGAGTCAAGGTGCAAGTCTCTCATATACCCAGTCTTCCTCCCCGCGGTGGGTCATGGCTCCCAGAGGGGAGTCTCCTGTTGACAGGCCTCGGCGGAAGACAATGCGGTCGTGCAGGCGGTTGGTTTGGCCTTGCCAGAACTCCATCACCTGGGGGTACAGGATGTAGCCACCCCTACGGGAAGAAGCAGAGGTTTACTGTTCCCTCGTCCCCTCTCATCCCAAGCTCTCTTGCAGCAGGCTCCAGGATGCAGCTGATGAGGGCTTCCTGGAGAAGGAGATCTAGAACTCCACAGGCAGGGCCCTGTTTTCCTTTCTGGACGTCCACCAGGCACAGGTATCACTTACCAGTATTCTGGTTTAGGCACCTCTTGCTCCTGGTAGAGCTGCTCTAGCTCTTCATTTTTCTTTCTCAGGTACTGTTCAGGGAAGACAGAGAAAGAGCCAGGCGTGGGTGATGATTCACCTAAGGACTTAGGGACATAGGCTCCAGAGCAGGACCCAGGCCAGGTATGAGGGACGGAGGTGAGCAAGGGAGCTGGGGTAATGGTCAACAGGAGGGCCGGACAGAGGCGGCCTGTGTTCCGTCTTCCTTCTCTTCTCCCCTAAGGACATCATCATCCTTTCCTCTCTGCTAGATTGACAGGACTCTGGCATCTCCTGGAGACAGCCTCTGGGGAGGAGCCCAGCGCCTCACTAATCAAGAGGATCATGCAGGAGCCCCACTTACCTCCCGATCGGGGATCACAGAACTCTGGCGACTGACCACAGCCCCAATCTGGCTGCTCTTGGGGCGGGAATGGAAGTAGTTCTCAGCCTCCTTCTCGGGCAGCTTCTTCACAGGACCCTCCACACGCACCTGCTCACGGATGACCCGGGCTAGGTGATGCTTGATCCTACCACCCCCCCTCACCAGCACAGGCCCCGTATCTCCCTGTTCTCTCTCTCTGCTGCCCTGACACCCTTGGCTCCAAGCAGACTGTCTGAGAGCTGGGTGAGAGGCAGAGTACCCAGGCCGAGGCAGAATATGTGCCTGGTCTGGGGACACCCTCCCCACATTCGTTTATAAATTCACCCCTGCCCACACCGTCCACTGGAAGTTGTCTTGGGGATGCTCACTCACCTGCCGGTTCAGGGGCTCCCAGTAGAAGACGAGAGAGGCAAAGGGATTGGAGTCCTGGAAACAAGAGAGAAGCCATGGGTACCACCGGAACAGGAAAACGATGCTTCCTGAACGTAGGAGGACGGCAGGACAGGCTTTCCACAGATGCGTGCACTGTTACCTCTCATTTAAACTCTGAAAGGTGAACCCCCTGTGACAGATCTGAAGACAGGCTCTAAGGGGCAGAGTGACATGCCGAAGTGCACACAACCAGTGGTAGAGCTGGTTTAAGCCGGTTTAACTCCAGAGTGAAGTGTGAGGCCTGGCCATTCCAATCACCATAGCTGTGGTTTTAGATATGTTTGTTATTGTTTGTGTTGGTCTTGTTGTTTTTGAGACAGGGTCCTACTCTGTAGCCTAGGGTGGCTTAAATGTGCCTAATCCTCCTGCCTCAGCCTCCTCAATACTGGGAGGTGTGAGCCACCACACCCAGCTCACTCATGGAGCTTTGAGAGGTGATGTGGAATGCGCCTCAGGGTGGCATGACCAAATACAAATGAAATGCCAACTCCTGTGCACGTTAGAACAGGTGTTGGGGACAAAACAGATTAAATAAAAGTGGCATCCTTTACTCCACAGAGATGACAAATGTCAGTCAGGTCACCACATAAACAAACGCACAGTCAGAAGCTGAAAAAAAAAAAAGACAAAGTAAAGCTGTGAGGTGTACTACGGGCAAACAGTGCCATGTGCCAGGGACTGACCCGGGTTAGGTAAGGAAGGCTTTCCTAATGAGAGACCGCATGGTTGAGACAGAAAGGAACGGCAGCTGATTGGGGAGCGGACTGGGGAGTGGACGATGGAGGTGGGTGTGGTTCGTTCATTCAGAGTGCAAAGGCCTGAGGCAGAAAGGAGTCTGAGCAGAGGAAGAAATGGACGCAGGAGAGGACTCAAGACCATGTAAGCCAGGGTGGAGGCTAGCCCTGTCAGCCCTGGGAAGGACGTAACCCTCACCAGCTCTTTTCCCTTCCGGCTCTCGTAGTTAGTGAAGAAGCGGAAGCCATCCTTGCCAAAGCCCTTCAGCAGCAGCATGCGGGCAGAGGGTTTTCCATCTCTGGGGGCACACACAGCAGGGCACCAGGTCAGAACCCACTCCAGTGTTCCCACCCCTGAGCAACCCCTTCCCTCAACCATGCCCTGAGTGAGGCAAATATCAATCGTGCGATCACATAAACAAAGGCATGGTCACGAACCGGGGGACGGGGGGAGCGGGGAGGCAGAGAGTCAAGCTGTGGGGTCCAACACCGTCACACAGTGCCCTTGGGAATTTGCGCTGGAGGCACAAATGTGGTGCCACTGTCTGGGGGCTCCTTGTGGATCAAACAGTATCCCCCCGAGGGATGTACGGCACACAGCATCCCTGACAGTCTCTTGGACTTCCGGCCTCCAGACGTGTAAAAAGTAAACTTTCCTTGCCTGAGCCACCCGGTCTTTAGTACTTGGCTGTAACAGCTCTGGAAAAAGCACATAAGACTGGAAGAGAACGGGCCGGCAACAAAGCACGGAGCCAACTGATCACCCAAAAGGGGTGACGACGGACGGTCCTCCGCTCAGAGCCCTGGGTAATACTCGGAGGCCGGTGTCAAAGTCCCTGTGGTGGAACCTGGTGCTTTCATAAGACCGGACGTGAACAACTGAATTAAGAGGCTAATATAAGAGATCTCTTGCCGGGCAGTGGTGGCCCACCTTTAATTCCAGCACTCGGAGGCAGTGCTGAGTTTGAGGCCAAAGAGAGAGGCAGAGAGAGAGAGAGAGAGAGAGAGAGAGAGAGAGAGAGAGAGAGAGAGAGATCTCCAAGGGTAGGACTGACTGGCAATCCTATGCTGGGTTTCAAAAGAGGGAAAGGGCTTGAGCATGAGGGAGACCAGGGTCATGAGTCGTGAGTGGATACATCAAGTATAAGGAAGTGCATTTTATCAGTGAAGTGTATTTAGTGCGCTGGCTTTTGGTTTACCAGTTAAGGACTGTTTTCCTGGGACTCAGAGAAGATCAGTAACTCAGCTGGGGCTTTATAACGGAACTGCAGACACACAGGTGAATGCACTTAGTGTGGGCCGGTCTTCCTAAGTCTCAAACTCCATCTGGACCCACCCACACAGGGGCCCAGGGCTGTGCCTACCTGGTGCAGGTAGCCAGACACATAGCATTGGCTTCTCCGATGTCTGGACACTGAACAGCCTCCTCAAACCAGGAAGCAAACTGCTTCATGGGGTCCAGAGAGGTCAGATGAGCCTCCTCAAATGCCTAGGAAGAGAGTTTGACTTCATTTAATGAACACATAATGCTTACTCTGTGCCCGGTATGGGTGGAGGTGCTTTTCAAATGTAAATGCATTTAGTCTTCGTAACAGTGACCTTGAGACAAAAAAGCACCTCCGGGGTTGGGGATTCAGCTCAGTGGTAGAGCACTTGCCTAGCAAGCACAAGGCCCTGGGTTCGGTCATCAGGAAGTCGGGTCTGTGCCCATTTACAGGCATAAAATGGCCCAATAAGTTTCTGCATCTCCTAACCACAAAGGGATGAACCAGGGTTCGAGGGTGCTGAAATTCCTGCGGGCCACCTCATCATTTAGTTCTAAGTTTCATGAAAACCTACATTTTAGTCAAGCACTTCCAGAAATGCTCACATACAATCCACACTTAGCGGCCTTAGCTCTAGATCTCAGTTCCAAAACGGATCTACCTCTCTGACCTGAGGAGGGGACAGAAAAAGACCCAGGAGGTGCTGAGGGTGGTAAAAACTAAGAATGTCCAGGTTAGCCTTGAACTCACTGGGTAGCAGAAGGATGAAGGACCCTGAACGTTGGATCCACCGCGCCTAGTTCATTTTGCGCTAAGGATAAAATCCAGAACCTTTGTGCACCCCAGGAAAGAACTCTCCCAACTGAGCGACAGACCCACCCTCCACTTCTTTTTTTATTTTTATTATTATTGGTTTTTGAGACAGGGTTTCTCTGTGTAACTAACAGCCCTAGCTGTCCTGGAACTTGACGCCCGGCCTTCTTTATTTTGTGACTGTTTTAATTTCTTTACAAACGCCTAAATACAGGCTGTGGAGATGGCTCAGCAGGTAAAGGAATCTGCCACCAAGCCTGACGACCTGAGTTCAATCCTGGGTGACCTTCACTGTGGAAGAAAAAAAACAACTGAAAATTTGTCCTCTGACCTACACACCACACACACACACACACACACACACACACACACACACACACACTAAATGAATAAAAATGCTGGGTGGTGGTGGCGCACGCCTTTAATCCCAGCACTCGGGAGGCAGAGCCAGGCGGATCTCTGTGAGTTGGAGGCCAGCCTGGTTTACAGAGACCCAGGACAGGCACCAAAACTACACGGAGAAACCCTGTCTCTGAAAAACAAAACAAAACAACAACAAAAAAACAAAAAACAAAAAAGAAAGAAAACCCCTAAATCCGCAGCATCCTTATAAAGTAGATATTATCACTTTACAGGTTAGTAAACTGAGGCCCAGGGAGGATAAATTGCCCAAGGTAATATGGTCAGAAAAGGGCTGGGTTCCAACATGGGTGGGTTCTGAAGTCAGTACCCCTTACCACTGCGACAGGAGCCTATGAGCACACCTTTATCCTACGTTTTCCTCCTCAGTTGCTGACTCTGAAACCCCCTTTCCCCCATCAGGGTGATCCCTAAATCAGGTTGCCCTATAAGTGGCCCCCGAGGCCCCACGGCGCTCCTCCAACCCCTTGGTAGTTGACTCAGGGACACCCCCTTTTCGTGCCCCGGCGGCAGCGGCTGCACCTCTCGGTCCCCGCGGTAACTCTTGCGCATCGGTCCCAGGTCCATGACGGCACTCCAACACAGGTGACGGAGGTAACCTGGCCACTTCGAAGGTCGCCTGAACGTCACGGTGACGCTCAGCAGCCCGCACGTCATGTAGGCAGCCAGCCACGTGACCCGGCGTCGCCTAGCCCTGGGTTCCTCTGGGTTCGGAACCAATTGCTCAGCCTGGGTGTCTAGCCTGGGAAGAATTTGCTAGTGGCCCAGGCAAGCTCACAAGTCCTAAATTCTCGGAGCCCAGGGGCCAGGACAGCCAATAGCTGTCCAGGATCGGAGCGGGGAGACCGACGCGGAGAGCTCATTGGTTTGAGTTTCCTGAAGCGAGACCAATTCGAACCAGCACAGAGGAAGCCAGCAGCCAATGGGCTGCGCCTCCAGGGACGGGAGGCGCAGAGACGAGGAAATGCTGTCACCGCCGTTAGCACGCACGTGGAGGTTTGTTAAAGGTATAGGGACCGCTGCAGCCGGGGCAGGGGGCAGGGCGAAGTCCCGGGAGCTGGGGAGGAGTGGTCTGCAGGAAGTGGCAGGGCTCCTGAAGAAGAGCATAGAGCAGGAAGCAACCTCCTGGCAGCGGAGGTTGGTAGACCGTGGAAGGAAACATGGCATTGGGGCCCGGACTCGGAAGCAAGGTGATGGGGACGCAGAGAAAGAGGGGTTAGGCTGGCTGAAGACTGTGTCTTGAGAGCAGCAGGACGGGTGGAAACGGCTTGTGGACCACACACCACAGGTGCTGAGGGCCCTGAGGATGGGTGGGACCCTGGGGGCTGGGAAGATGCCCTGAGGTCATGGGGGGAGACTCTGGGGTGAGAAGGGAGGCAGCTGAATAGAAAGAAGAGGGGAAATTGGGACCAAGTACCCCAGACCAGAATGGCCTTCGCTCATGACTTGGAGCCCACTCCTGCCTCGTTTTCCCAAGGGGTGGGCTGGGCTCAGAGCATCCTATCCCTGGGCAGTGGAGTTTTACTAGCCACTGCTCTAACGGACGGAAGGTTGTCCCTCTCCCAGGCCTCGTGCATCATGGTTATTCCCCCCTTTTCACATTTTTTTTCCCTTCCTAAGTAGGGGGAGGCATTGTTCTTAGTCAATGCCAGCAATAGCCAGCCGAGGATACAGGGGGACGGGTCCCCGCAAAATGATGTCAGGCTGTGGATGTAGGGCTGAGAAGCAGATGTGGTAGAGATGACTATAGCCCTGGTGTCTGCCAGCCTCTGGAACGGGGGCCACAAGAGCAGTCAGGCACCTAGGACTGTGCCAGGTAGGGGAACTTCTTGGCCTGTCTAGCGTCTGCAGTGGGGACCTGTCATCATGTGGTCATAGCTTGAGCCAATGGAGTCTGCTACACAGATCAAGACGAAGCTTGCTGGGCATTAGTGGTGCATGCCTAAAGGTCATCTCAGCACTTGTTAAGGCCAGCTTTAGCTACGTAGCAGGTGTGAGGCTAGCCTGGACTCCCATAAAACCCTGTCTCCAAAAAAAAAAAAAAAAAAAGACGAACCTTAACCGTATGGGTCTATGGGTTGTTCGCCGGCTGGAAGGTTCGGCGCCAATCTTGTTTTCTCCCATGAACGTGATGGAGACAGTTTTCCGGCCCTTGCAGGTGTCCCACGTAGTCATTCATGTTCTTTATCAGCTTCCACTCTGGGCTACTGTTACATTGGAGCTGGGGTCTCATAGGTACCAAGACTTCAAAGACAAGAGCACCAGCTGGATGTGGTGCCACACACCTGTGACTCCAGCACTTGAGAGACTGAGGTGAAAGGATCCTGAGATCCAACTCCGCTACATAGTGACCCCTGCCTTTAAAAAAAGAAGGAAAAAAAAAGGAAAGGGAAAAGTACCTTGAGATCTTGAGATGCGCATTTTTGCAGCCTATCCGTTCGATACACGTTTGCTGAAGACTGCCTTTGGACCGGGCATTGAGCCAGCAGGTCTTACAATACTGAAGTGAAGGCAATAACATGGTTGCTGTTCACAGCGGCAGATCTAGGAGCCAGAGAGAATCGTGGGTGGTTAACCGTGGGTGGTTAACCTGTTTCGGTTAGGCAAAGGAAAACAGAACCACAGGGGACAGTCGGTCCAGAAAGGCCTCATCAAGGGAGCCGACAGTAGATTTGTCTTAAGGAGTATTTGCCACATGGGCTGTGGAACAGGTGTTCAGGAAGAGGGGAGGTGGCCGGCAACAGCAGATGCACCTGGGACCTGGGACCTGGGAGCCATGCGATGCTACGGGAGCCAGAGAGTGAGAAACCGGAGAGATGAGCGGCAGAGACTTGGGCTCCTGGCTGAAGACCTACTGTGAAGGTAGTGAGGGCCGCCTTTTAGATCCATTGGTTCTAATTTTTTACCTTACAACACTGTGAAGCCAAGAGCCTAATTTTGTGGTGGGTGTTTTTGTTTGTTTGAGACTACTTTGAGAGGGGGCAGGTGTGATGGAATGTGCCTGGGAGCCAGCTACCTGGGAGGCTGAGGCAGGAGGATCATGAGTTTGAGGCCAGCCTGAGGGGCTTAGCAAGAATTTGTCTCAAAAGAAAGATTTCCAGCCGGGCAGTGGTGGCACACGCCTTTAATCCCAGCATTTGGGGAGGCCGAGGCAGTAAGATCTCTGTGAGTTCAAGACCAGCCTGGGCTACAGAGTAAGTTCCGGGACAGCCAGAGCTACACAGAGAAATCCTGTCTCAAAAAACCAAGGGGGAAAAAGAGAGAATAAAGGAAAGAAAGTCTTCATTTAGGGTTAGGGTTGCAGCTCAGTGGCAGAGCACTGGTCTCTCATGCACCAGGCTCCGGATTCCATTGCCGGCTCCATAAAAACAAATGCAAACCAGAGGAGATGGGGAAAAATCGCCGGGTTTGATGGCCTCTCCCTTCCTTGGCCGTCATCTAAGAAGTTTACTGTTGACTCCTTTTCTATGTTTTCCCTTTGTCTTGAAGTTACCAAACAGGCCTGTGTTGTGCTTTTCTGCTAAAAATCTATGAGGTGCTAGGTCAATGGGAGAAAATAAAACTGCCTTCTTTTTTCCTGTGGCTCCTATCTGTCCAAGCTCTCTGCCATTTTTCTGCAGGTTGGGGGAAAGTGTGTTCAGTCCCTAGGCAACCTGTGTACAGCTAGATGCCTCTAGTGATAGTTAAAGGGAGATCTGGAACTAGAGGTAAGGTTTGGGAAAGGAGGAAGTTAAGCTTAATTGGCACATCTACCAAGCCTTCTCAAACGGGTAGTCTGGATGCTTAAGTCTGTTCTTAGCGAACACAGAGGTATCTTTGATAAGGTACTCTCCTCCATCCGGTGATGGACCTGGCCAGATGCTGCCAATGGTGATAATTACAGGGAGGCTTGAACTGGGAGTTCTGGCTGAGCATAGCTGTTAGCACAGAAGGTTATCTAAATATTCCTAGAAGTGGTTAGGTAAGGAGTTAGAGGTCTATAAAGTTAGTAAGGATGTAAGAAAGGAGGGTCCGAGCTAAATTGTGTAAAGCTATTAACGTCCACCTGACCTAGGCGGTGTCCCCTTGTGGAATTTACCTTAAATCAGGAGACTTGCATGTGGACTGTTATTACTGCTAGTCCTTGAAAGTGGCTAAGGGAGATATCTGATTCCAGAGAAAGCCTTTCCTGAGGCTGTTCTCCAAATACCTGGAATGTGTATATCCAGAGTGATCAGTCCACACTGTTAGCCCTTCTTAGGGAAAAGTCAATTGGGAAAACTATGAAGGCACACATGATTTTCATAACAGAAGACAGCTGATATATAACAAGCCAAGTAACACCAAAAACTCCTTGGGATTTGGCTTCCTCTGGAGGAATTCCCTGATCCCTCCAGGTAGTGACTTTGCCATAACCAGCTGAGTTCTTATGATATATTCCTGTGGCCCTCAGAAGAGGCTCACAGTGAAAGAGGTTTCCTGAGCTTCCGGAGGAACTGCATTGACCTCTGTGAGAACTGTTAAGACTTCGGAGACTTCTAGAGATGGATTTGATGCGTCTTATATTATAGAGGTAGGATGCTGTAAGTGACGTGTTTGATCACCGTTGGTAAGGGTGGTAGTCAACCTTTGCTAACTTGGCTAGATCAAGAATCATGTTCCCAGAGAGGTGGAGCTGACGAAGACTCATCCTGGGCTGGGGTCCTCGACTGACTAAAAGTGGGGAAGGGAAGCCAGCTGAGCACTGAGGTTCATCTCGTTCTGCTTCCTAACTATAGATTCAGCATGGCCAGCGTCCCACACACCCAACCACCCTGGCCTCCCGACCACACTCTATTCCCTCAAATCCTGAGCCAAAATTAATCCTCCCTTAAGCTCAGGTAATTTTCACAGTGACAAGAATAGTAGCTAATACACAAAGGCCCTAAAAAGATAATTGTAAAGTAGATGGGACAGTCGGAAGGAAGGTTTGCTAATTAAAAAAAAAAAAAAAAATAGGTGCTGGAGAGCAGTGGCTGCTCCTTGCATAGAACCAGGGTGTAGTTCCCAGCACCTGCCTGGTGGCTCTCACTGTCCGGAACTCCAGTTCCAGGGGAGCCAATGCCCTCTTCCGGTTTTTTTTTTTTTTTTGGTTTTTCGAGACAGGGTTTCTCTGCGTAGTTTTGCGCCTTTCCTGGAGCTCACTTGGTAGCCCAGGCTGGCCTCAAACTCACAGCGATCCGCCTGGCTCTGCCTCCCTAGTGCTGGGATTAAAGGCGTGTGCCACCACCGCCGCCGGGCCCTCTTCGGGCTTTTGTGGGCACTGCATACATGCGCTACAGATATGTGTATGCAGACAAAACACTTATGCACATAAAATAAAAATAAATAAATGTTTTAAAAAAGAAGCCCAACAGTGGTATCATAGGCCCTTTTTGTCTCTGTGTAGTTTTGGTGCCTCCTGGATCTTGTTCTGTAGACCAGGCTGGCCTTGAACTCACAGCGATCTGCCTGGCTCTGCCTCCGAGTGCTGGCATTAAAGGCATGCACCACAGAGGTAGCAGAAGGATCTCTATGAGTTCAAGGCCAGCCTGGGCTACAGAGCTAGTTCCAGGAGAGCTAGGGCTGTTACACAGAGAAACCCTGTCTTGAAAAATAAAAATAAATAAAAAAGGGGAAGAAAAAAAGCAAAACAAAATCCCCTGTGTGTGGTGGCTCATGCCTGGAGGTTGGAGGGTCTTGAGTTCAGGGCCCCCTTGAGTGCTGTCTAAGATTGTCTCAGAAAGCCCAAAAGAAACAAAAACAGTGGAACATTGCTCGGGCTTGCCCTCAGGAAGTAGGTCTTCCCTGCTGCTTCTCCAGGAGGTAATCCTGGTGTCTGGGCTATTAAAGAGCTGCAGTGTTGACTGTGAGGGGCAGAGGCAGGACTCGAGGGAGAGCTTTGGTAAGATGACCTGAGAAAGGAACCCGGCAAAGGAACAGCCATGGGTTGTAGGGGCCCCCTTAAACCTCTGGGTGTGGCTTGAACCTAGTCATCAAGAGCCCCTTCAAGCTGGGTGGTGGCGGCGGCGGCGGCGGCGGCGGCAGTGGCGGTGTATGCTTTTAATCCCAGCACTCAGGAGGCAGAGGCAGGCGGATCTCTGTGAGTTTGAGGTCAGCCTAGGCTACAAAGTGAGTTCCAGGACAGGCTCCAAAGCGACACAGAGAAACCCTGTCTTGAAAAACAAACAAAAAAGAAAGAAAGAAAGAAAGAGAGAGAGAGAGAAGGAAGGGAAGGAGGGAGGGAGGGAGGAAGAAAGGAAAGAAAGAAAGAAAGAAAGAAAGAAAGAAAGAAAGAAAGAAAGAAAGAAAGAAAGAAAGAAAGAAAGAAAGAAAGAAAGAAAGAAAGAAGAGCCCCTTCAAGTATCTGGTGGAGGTCTCTTGCTCAGGGAAGGGTAGGTACAACAGATGCAGCTCTCAGATGCAGGGCCCATTTGCAACTGAACTTTTGGGGTGTGTGTGTGTGTGTGTGTGTGTGTGTGTGTGTGTGTACACTCGGGTGCTTGCACAAGCGCAAACATACACAGGCCAGGGGTCACCTTTGGATGGTTTTACTTAGGAGATCTCCACCTTGATTTTTTGAGACAGGTTCTCTCTCTTGGATCTGCCTATCTCTGCCCCCCAGGACTGGGGTAACAAACATACCACCAGGACTGGCCTTTTTAATGATTTATTTTTAATAATTTTAATGATTTATTTTTATGTGCTTTAATGCCTTGCTTTGTATGTTTGTATGAGGGTGTCAGGTCCTCTGGAACTGGAGTTACAGACAGTTGTAAGCTGCTATGTGGGTGCTGGGAATTGAACCTGGGTCCTTTGGAAGAGCAGCCAGTGCTCTTAACCTCTGAGCCATCTCTCCAGCCCTCCCAGGCTGGTTTTTGTTTGTTTTGTTTTGTTTTTGTTTTTCGAGACAGGGTTTCTCTGTGTAGCTTTGCGCCTTTCCTGGAGCTCACTTGGTAGCCCAGGCTGGCCTCGAACTCACAGAGATCCACCTGCCTCTGCCTCCCGAGTGCTGGGATTAAAGGCGTGCGCCACCACCGCCCGGCCCAGGCTAGTTTTTATGTGGGATCGAACTCAGGTCCTTATGCTTACACAGCAAACACTTTACCCACTCATCCATCTTCCCAGGTAGGAGTCTTTCTATTCCTTGATCTCATCAATGCTAGGTAGAACATATTCTCCTCCTTGTAAAACTCAGGCATCCAGGGGCTGGAGAGGTGGCCCAGGGGTTTGGAGCACTTGCTGCTCTTCCAGAGGACATGGATTCAGTTCCCAGGCTCCCAACTTGTCGGTACCTCAAGCTCCAGGGGATCCGATGCCTCTGGCCTCTAAGTGCACATGCCCTCATGTACACATGACCATATGCAGACACACACATACCTACACATAATTTAAAATAATAAATCTTGACCCAACAAAACATCCCAGGCATCCCGCAAGAGGCATGGGTAAAATGTCACAGCCTGTATATCTGCATGTCTCCCCAAGAAAGGAACTCCCATATGCCTGCCTGCTCCTTCTAGCTGGGGCTTGGCACCATTTTGTTCACAAAGGAGGCCACGGCGTCAGCTCAGCATAAAGTACAGGCCTTGGAGTCGGCCCCCAGGTAAGCCTTGTGCCTGCGGCAGTGTGTGGTAGAAAGAGATCAGTTGATTAATGCTCCCCTTTGCACTACCCAGGATTCAGAACACAGCAATTCAGAACCCAGGATTCCTTCCCCAGCCGCCAGGGCTACACTGAGATGCAGGCCGATGGGCTAATGAGGCTTCTATGCCAGGGTTGATCCAGCTATTGGTCTAATAATGCCCAAAGGGCTTGAGAATAGGCAGCAAGGGTCACTCTTTGCCAACAGAGAAGCAATTAGGGCAGAGAGCCCGCTGGGCAGCGGTGGCACACGCCTTTAATCCCAGCACTCGGGAACTTAATCCCAGCACACAGAGAAACGCTGTCTGGGGTGTGGGTGGGGGAGCAGAGAGCCCAGATCCACCTGAGACCCGTGGCTTTTTATTTTTCAGGTATGTGGAGTTGACTGGCTCTGGGAAAAAGCTGTTGGCTAGTGGAGGCGACAAAGGGAGACTTCTGGGCACTTCGCAGAGCTGCAGTCCTAGCTGGTCGGAGGGTAAGTACAAAGTGTCCAGTTTTCTACGTGTCTGAGGCAGGCTGGCCTCTTCCTCCAGCCTGGCTGCTACCCTTCAGGCCCCCGAGGCTTACACACTAACTCCAGTTTTATTTATTTATTTATTTTTTTTATTTATTTTTTTTTTTTTTTAATTTTTTTTTTTGGTTTTTCGAGACAGGGTTTCTCTGTGTAGCTTTGCGCCTTTCCTGGGACTCACTTGGTAGTCCAGGCTGGCCTCGAACTCACAGAGATCCACCTGGCTCTGCCTCCTGAGTGCTGGGATTAAAGGCGTGCGCCACCACCGCCCGGCTCTAACTCCAGTTTTAAATCTGAATAAATCCCAACCCCTGACTTCTCTGTAGTTCTGTCAAGATGAAAAAGTCCCCAATACAATTTCAGATCTGCAGCCCCACTGAAACCCAGAGACACGGCCAACCAGCTGTTCTCTCTGAGGGGCTGGGTGAGGGGACAGAAGAGAAACAGAACCCAAGGCTAGCCAGGGTCCTCTTGCAGGAAAAGCTGGGCCTCTAGCTGCTGACCCGGAAGAACCTGCTTGGTCCTCCACTGTGGGCAGAACTCTCGCTCCATGGGAACGATGTTTTGTGCAAACCCAATCTTGTAAGACAAGGTTCTTTTTCTGTTTTGTTTTGTGAGACGGTTTCTCCGTGTAGCTTTGCGCCTGTCCTGGATCTCGCTCTGCAGCCGAGGCTGGCCTCGAACTCATAGAGATCCACCTGGCTCTGCCTCCCAAGTGCTGGGATTAAAGGTGTGTGCCACTGCTGCCTGGCTCGTAAGCCAAGGTTCTTAACTCCTCTGCTAGCTTCTTAGGCACTGGGAGGCAAAGGCCTTCCTCCAGGGCTGGGGCATAGAGTAGTTGGTCTGCCAGCTCAGGAGGCCCTTTCTAGTTGTCTCTGTGACTGAGGCAAGACTGGGCAATGGAAGGAAAACACAGAGACATCTGCGTTGGTCTCCGGACTCCGGAGGTCCTCAGAGGTGCTCTGAGCACGCCTCTCCTTTGGGCCAGGAGGGTAAGTTGAGAGCACATGGCTCCCTCCTCAGGAGCCCCCTCTGTGAGACCTCTGAAGTAATAAAGGGACAGAAGGAGCCCAACTGCCAAGAGCAGACTTTGCCTCGGGCAACTAAATTTATTAGCAAGAAAAATTTTTGTCAGCCCAGCACTGACCAACAAAATACATCGTTAATAAAGGATAACAAATCTATCGCTTAATTAATAAAACATCCTCAAGCAGTTACAACGAAAAATAAAGTTGGATTTTTGTTTAATTTAAAAGCCTCAAAAATAACAAGCAATATGTTTTTTAAAACATGTCGTAGACACAATTGTCTATTATACAATATACACTGTACACAATAGAGCGGGGGCGGGTAGGGTGATGAGATGAGAGGGCGTGGAGGGGTCAGAATGGAAGGTGTTCTCATGGGAGTCCAGATCAGAGCTGAAATGTTGTGTCATTTAGAAAAGAAGTGTTAGTGAGAAAAAAACTCCTATGCTCAGCATTGCCCCCCAAAACCCTGAACTGAACGCAGGCGAGGGGGAGGCGGCTAGTCAAGAAAGGAAGAAGGGAGCAATTAAATAAAATGTCTTTAAAGCACACACATACACAGTGTTCATTATCTGAAGTCTGAGTATAAGGCAACGTTCTCCATAGAGAAGGAGTGGGAGGGGCCAGTCCGCCGGCATCTAGCCTGTCGAGTAGGAAGTTGGAATGTCTGCAGGAGAGCCGGGGCAGGGCTGGGCAGTGGAGTGGAGGCAGCCTCCCCAGCCTCCGCAGAGGGGGGTGCCCGTGGAAGGCTGGGTACAGGGTCCCGGGTCCCGGGGTGTCCCTAGCGCCTAGGGGAGGAGGTAATTGAGGGGGACAAGGAGGCACAGGATTGGGGGGCATGGCACAATGGGACTCCGGCAGTGTTGGGGCAGGGGATGGGTTGGGACAGGGGCTCACTTTGCTCCTCGACGGAGTGAAATGCATGTTTTTCCTTTGGAAATAAGGGTCCCCACGCGTCCTGGTTTAGAACGTCTCATTGGGCATGGCCAGTGTGCATAGCCTGGGCGGGCCAGGAGCTCATGCTGAGAAGGGAAAGGCCTTTGGAAGGAGAAGAGCCCCTCCCTGTGGGGACACAGCCACAGACCAGGAGTGGGGTGAGGGCCGCCCAGGGCAGCTGTGGGCACCGTCCACCATCGACCCAGGCCAGTCGGATGGGGGATTCCATCTTCAGGGCCTCCTGCCTCAGTTGGCCTTACAAGTTCTTCGTGACAAGGTGGGTCTTGTAATGCTTGGTGAGGTGGTCACTCCTCATGAAGCGCTTCTGACACTGGGCACACTCAAAGCGCTTGTCGCCTGGGAAGAGGAAAGAACTGTTAGCAAAGAGCCTACGTACAGACACCGCCACAGTCCCACAAGGAGAAGCACACGCGAGAGCCCCTAGAAAAGCCACCGGGCCGTATCTGCATACCCCGCTCACAGGGCACGGCTGTCTACTGACCCCACCTCTCTGCCCCAGCCGTCCCTGCTAACCTACCCGGCTCCAGTCGGGTCCTTGTCCCTTGTCCTGGAGCCTCTGTGCACCTGGTTCATTCTGGGCTGTGGGCCTTGGACTTCAAACTTTGATCAACACCCCCTCCTCACAGGAGGACACCCTGGACCACGCTGTCAGGGTATTTTATACTCCTGCCTCTGACGGGGTATGATCTAGCCGGAAGCTGTAACTTGGGGTCACATATCCCCTACCTCCAGTCTCTGCTCAACAGGGCATCATTCTTCACTACAGCAGTATCGGCACTGTACCCTGTGGACACTGGGCATGCCCAGGACAACTTTAGGACCCTTTCCTATAGTTTGGCCTGTATTCCTTAGTACATTAAAGCACAGACCTGTGATAGCGACCCTGATACCAAGGCTGCTTTCAGGGCAGCCTGCAGGAATGTTGGAACAAGCCTGTGATCCCAGCAGTTAGGAGACAAGAGGGGTGCCATGAGTTGAACGTAAACCTAGGCTACACAACAAAATCCTGTCTTTAAGGAAAAAAAAGAGCTAGGTGTGGTGATTCACACCTATAATCCCAACACTTGGAAGGCTGAGGCAAGACCGCTGTAAGTTCAAGGGCAGCCTGGATCACCAAGCAGAATCTTGTCATCATCCCCGCCCCACAACCAAAAAAACAAAGAGGGTTGGCAAGCCAGGTGCTTTAGTCCACGAAGATTCCCACCTGTACTTCAAGCACAGAAGGCCGAGCCCTAAGACAAACTGGTACATCTCCAGAACCCATCTCCAAAACAAAACAAAACAAACAAAAAAGTGGGTTTGGGTTGGAACCCAGCTTGTCTACCAGGAGTCGCTCCTCCAAGCCTCTCCGAGGCCTGGCTGGGACTAACTGAAGTTATCTGAAACTGTAAAACATAGTGCCTGGCAAACCTCCCCAGTGCTCGCTGGGTGTTTCTGGTTTATTTTTACTTGTGACACAATCTCTCGGGTTACCCAGGCTGGCTCTGAATTCCTGATCCTCCTGCCTCCACCTCTCTACTGACAGATAGGACGACAGTTGGCCAGCTCAGTGCTTGGTAACCAGCTGTGCAGAAGTGACAAGAGGTTGTCACTGCTGTGTAGTGCAGCGCCTGCCGCTGGACGGGCAACAGCTCCTGGGGTGACCTGCATGGCTGTAGAGCTCCTGCACCAGCGGTGATGGCGCTCAAGGCCAGCTGAAGGGCGTGGGGGAACTGACCTGTGTGGGTTCGAGCATGTCGCTGGAGCTCATCGCTCCGCGTGAACCTCTTTCCACAGAAGAACCAGTTGCAGACAAAGGGTCGCTCGCCGGTGTGTAGGCGGACATGGGCCCGAAGCAAGGACGTCTTCCGGAAGGTCTTGCCGCAGTCGGGGATGTGGCACACGTGCTTCTTCTTGCCCTGCTCCCCAGACCTGCGGGGGTTGGGTTCAGAGTAGGGAAAGGAAATGGGAAGAAGGGAGAGAATGGACAGAGGCCGTGGAGGTCGGTCAGAGCTCAGGAGAGGTGGGAGGCAGGAGTTGGCAGCTGCCACTGTCCCAGAGCAGCCGTGGAGCAGGGCATCTGCCAGGCTGCGGGTCTGCCCCGCCATGCATTACCTCTTCTCCCCGTCCTTGCAGTTGGGACACGTGCAGGCCATGCGCCGCCTCTTCTCCCCGGGCTGGGCCTCTCCTGCGAGGGCCTGCTCCATCTGCAGCTGGATCTGCGTGGGGCTCAGCCCACTAATGGTCAGGTTGTTTCCAGAAACGTTCTGCACTGTCAGCTGCTGCTGGCCTGTGAAGAAGAGAAGGACGTGGTTCAGGAAAGAAAGCCCAGGCCAGACCTCCTCTCCCTCCGGCACAGGTTAAGGATGAGTCATGGCAGCTGATACTCGGAGAGGAGTGAGAGCCAGAGGTCTCTCTGAGATACTGGCAGGAAACTCTCCCAAGAACTTTTATTCATGGGAAATCACTCTAGGCTACCTTGTCCTCCCTCTTGGTGTCCCCTAAAATTGGACAAACCAAATGCATAAAAATGCATTAGGGAGGAAGAGAGCCATGAACTCTCACTACCTTGAAAGCTGCCTTATTCCCAGGTGCAGGATGAAAACTGCTTCTGCAAGGAGCTTCAGCTCTCCCTCTTCCCTATTTTTTTAAAGATTTATTTCCATATTTTATATAGAGAGGTGTTTTGTATGCATGTATATCTATATACCAGAAGAGGGCACCAGATGCTATGGGACTAATTATAGACTATTATGAGCCACCATGTGGATGCTAGGAATTGAACCCAGGCTCTGGAAGAGCAGCCAGTACTCTGAACCACAGAGCCATGTCTCCTGTCCCTCTCCCTCTAATTTTCAAGAGGCATTCACAGCATGCACCATCACTGAACTCATGTGCAGTACAAACTGGTCCTGCTGTCCAGGACACCCTTCTCTGCGGCTCAACCTCAACACCAGCCTTTCTCTTGAAGAAGTCTTCCTTAGCTGGGCAGTGGTGGCACAAGCCTTTGAACCTAGCACTTAAGAGGCAGAGGCTGATGGATCTTGGAGTTCAAGGCCAGCCTGGTCTACAGAGTGAGTTCCAGAATAGCCAGAGCTACACAGAGAAACCCCATCTCGAAATGTACAGCCCACACACACCAAAAAAAAGGGAATCATTCCTTCACTTCCTTTACATGGTATGGCACAGTCACCTGACCTGGACAGGTGACCATCCAAATTAATCTGAGTTTATATATTACTTAAACACAATCTATTTTCTCCCATCATTATTCAACATCTGAAGTTACCGTATGTGGACATGTGAATTATTATCTCACAATACCACTGTAAGGATCAGGTGTGAAGATATACATGTGCGTGCCCTGAGGCAAACACTGGGCATCACCTTGGATGGACAGCATCCACCTCATCATGGCTGCTACTGGGAATCCCAGGGGCCTGGCTCAGGATTCCCACAAGCTGAATACAAAGTCCTGCTGCCGACACCCTGGCTGCAGGACTTTCCCTCACCGCCGGTGTTGGTGATGGTGACAGGCACACCCTGGACTTGGACTCCATTGATGTTGATGGTCTGCATGGCCTGAGCAGCTGCTGCCAGCTGTGCGGCATTCAGGCTGATGATGCTCCCAGCAGGTGCAATCTTTGGCAGGGGTCGCTCTTTTCGGAGAATTGCAGCTGAATGCTTTTTGCTGGTACCACTCAGATGGGGAGCTCGGGGTGCAGGGCTGTTACAGGTGGAGGTTGAGGTGGTTGCAGCTGTTGCTGGGGGGCTGTCCTGGACGAGGACTGTCTGTACCTCACCAGAAGGTGTACGAATATAAACCTGAGGGGCCAGAGAGAAGAGTGCCCTGAGAGACATGGCACCACCAGCACCTTCACACAGCCCTCCTTGTCCAAGGGGACACCTCCGTCCGTCTGTCCGTCATCCTGTCTTCCAACCAGCCCAAACAGGAACTCAGACACTACTGACAGTGTTTAACAGGACACTAACCTGGTATAGCTGGTTACTGACCTGTGACCAAACCTTTGCTCTGCTTAGCATGGAAAGAGATAACTGTTAAGTCTCAAAACTGGGAAATTAGAAAAAGCACACCACCAGTATGGGCTACAGAGTGACACCCAGGCCAGCCTAACCTGTATAGCAAAATCATTGAAAAAGGAGGGTGGGGTGGCTCAGTGGCTAGGAGCATCGGCTGCTCTTCCAGAGGACGAGGGTTTCCCCTCATCCACATGGCAGCTCACAATCATCTGTAACTCCAGTTCTAGAGGATCTGAGGCCCCCTTCTGACCTCCTTGGGCACCAGACATACACACATACATACACACAGTCAAAACACTCATATACATAAAAAATAAAATAATCTAAAAATTTTTTTAAGAGAAACAGGATATTCATCTTATCCCAAAATGTTGTCTCTTTTCAAAATACTGATGAAATACAAAGAGAAAGAAAAGTAATTTTATCTCGTGTGTGTGTGTGTGTGTGTGTGTGTGTGTGTGTGTGTGTGTGTACGGGTACACGTGTGCTAAAGCACACTTGTGGAAGTCACAGGACGGCTTGGGTATGAGTCCTTGCCTTCCGCCTCTGGGAGGTGGGGCCTCTTGTCCACGGCTGCATATGCCAGGCTGGCTGGCTCACAGAGCTTCTGGTAGTTCTCCTGTCTCCTCCCATCTCTCTCTCTCCTGTGAGCTCTGCCATGGCAGATGTAAGCTACTGCATCCAGCTTTGCGTGGCTTCTAGGGACACACACTCTGGTCCCCAGAGTGCATAGCCTGTGCTTCACCCACTCAGTGGTGGGAGATGTCTCCAGCCACACACACACAAAAGTAACTATTAAAGTTTGGGAATCTGTCAGCTATTGACACTGTAACCATCCCTAGCAACCGGACAGAAAGCTGGCACTGCCTTAGAACAGAGCACACATCTACTTTGTGACACTTGAGCAAAAGCGTGACAGCCTGCATCCACCCACGGGGGAAGAAACAGCACACAAACACAAATGGGAGGACGTTCTACAGAGTAACCAGTCTGCAGCCTTGGAGTGCAGCAGGGTTACGACAGTCAAGTTAAAAAGCAAGCGAGCTGGGGATGTAGTTCCAGAGCAGAGCCCAGGACCCACCAGTCCTGGGTTTCATTCCTGGCCCCACGGAGCTGAGTGTGAGGAGGTGTTTCAGATGAAAAGAGCTGAGACAACTAGGGGGAAGGTGGCCAAGTCCTTAAGAATTGCCAACCAGAACTCGCAGTGAAACCTAATGGAGCCCCCAATTACAACAGCATTTCACTGCTGACTTCACAAGAGAGATCGCTGTAGTGTGTACAGAAAATGTGCTCGTGTGGGAGAATTAAAGCACTTGGAAGTGAGAAGAGGATCATGGTGACAATTTATGACAAAGTTTCTTTGTAAAAAAAAATTCAGCTGTGACGTGTGTGTGTGTGTGTGTGTGTGTGTGTGTGTGTGTGTGTGTGTGTGTTTGTTGTTGTTTTCTCTGTGTAGCCTTGGCTGTCCTGGAACTCATTCTGTAGACCAGGCTGGCCTCAAACAGAGACCCACCTGCCTCTGCCTCTTGAGTGCTGGGATTAAAGGTGTGCACCACCACATCTGGATCAGCTGTGATTTTAATTGGGGTTATTTTTAATTCCTGGATCACTGAAGACTTTTTGATAACACATAAACCTGCCATCCCTTAATAAATACACAAATGTCATGTCTCAGTCCCGGTTTTCTAGTATGTATCCCTTTTTAAAATCTTAGCGTTTTGTATTTGGTTCTTTCTTTTGGGAAGTAAACAGGTTGACTGAGTGACTAAAGAGAACCTGCCCACCTTCTGTTATTCTCTTCTCTAGTTTCTGATACAGAGTCAGGTGAGAGGACTCTCTTCTCCCTTGGATGGCACCAAGTGGATGCTAAGCACTGTTTGATTTTTATTATTATCATTGTATTGTGTGGGTGTTTTGCCTACATGCATGTCTGTTTATCATGTGTATGCCTGGTGCAGATGGAGGTCGTTGGATCCTCTGGGAGTGGAGTTACAGGTGGTTGTAAGCCAGCACATGGGTGCTGGGACTCGAACCTGAGTCCTCGGGGGAAAAAAGCAGCCAGTCTCTCAACCACTAACCTATCTCTCCAGCCCATGCTGAGCACTGCTAAAGTCTGCTAAAATCATTGAGGCTGGTGGACTCCTCTGTAATCCTAGCACCCAGGAGGTGAAGGCAGGAAGGTCAGAAGTTCAAGACCACTATCAGCTGCATAGCAAACTCAAAAGCCAGCCTGCTACATAAAACTGTTTCAAAACAAATTCTGCTAAATTCTTAATTGGTGTTATGGTTTTAAGTCCTTGTTTGTTTTTTGGTGTTTTGAGACAGAATGTCACACTGTAGTCCAGGCTGGACTTGAACTCATGTCGCTCCCCTGCCTCAGCCTCCTGAATGCTGAGATTACATGTGTGAACCACTGTACTGAACTAAATTGTTTAACTTTTTTTGAGCACTCCTTCTCATCATTATTTCCCTGTACATAAGCAGTGATGCTGGGGAACGGGGCACTTGGATGCCCCATGGCTGCTGGAGTCTCCTCACTGTCTGGGCTGCCTCCAGCAACATTAGGCTCCAAGAGAGGGTCACTGAGTCGTCTGCTCCTGTCTGCTTTTAGAGCGGCGCAACACAAGAAAGGAGCAGAAGAGACTGGAAAGTGGTGGGCAGGGCGGCTGCAAAAGTCCACAGTGGCCGGTGCTTGGCAGCGAAGGAAAAGAGCTGAACAGCCGCAAAGGGGGAAGTGGAAGCCCAGAGTTGACAGCAGCACAAACAGCAGCTGGGAAGCCCCTTCCCAGGGTGGCCGGAACAGAGGCCGGGCAGTGTGGTCGGAGGGCAGCCAGGGAGGAGAGGCCTCCTGTGAAGTGAAACACGTCTTCTCCCTTACGTGGAATCTAGACTGGAGGGCAAGCGCTGGCACTCACGCCCACTCACACACTCACACAGGTGAACGGAGCAGAAGGGAACCATTCCCAGGGTTGGGGGGAAGAAAAGGATAAGCACGGGTGGAGAGAAGCAAGTACGGTGGCTCACAGGCTCACACTGTAATCCCAGCACTGAAGCTGAAGCAGGAGGATTATAAGTTTGATGAGGTAGAGGCCAACCTGAGATATCTAGGGAGACCCTGCCTCAAAAAAGGAAGAAGCCTAGCTGCTCCTGCCTGTTATTTTTCTTGTCATTAACAGTAGACAGCAGCTTTTCCTCATGAACTTTCCTACTTTATACCAAATTCTATGGTTCTGACTTGAATTCTCATTCTTGCTGTTCTAATCTTACAATGGAAATTATTCCGATCTACCCCCTAGTTATACCCAGAGCTACCCCATAATGAAAGAATAAAACAGCCTAGATATCCCTGTTCCATCTGATTTCTACAGATCACGACTACTTGGCCTAAGACCCGAAGAGACCCCAGGGCAGAAGCCATTTCCTGCCTACCCCAAATGATGGTGACTCCAACTTCCCCTCACATCTGGCGATGATCTGCCTCAGTTTCGAAAGCAAGCCAAAGGGTGAGCAGAGGAGAGGGAGGCTGGGCAGAGGGCCTGCGGTACCTACCTGGGTTGGTGCTGATTCAGTTGTCTGGATCTGAAAGTTCTGGGAGGGCTTCTGGGGAACGGTGGGGAGGGTGGCAGAGGCAGCCTGCACCACTCGAAGCGCCTGCTGGGGGATCTGCACCACCTGCTGTTGCTCAGCCTTGGGGGGCACCACTTGGACTTGCTGGACCACAGCTGGCTGGCCCCCACCAGGGCTCTGGACAATCAGCAGGTTGTTTCCTGCCTGGATGATGTTGTCTGCTGTGGTCTCAATCAGCACCGTCTCCACTTGCTCGGCCACAGCCACTGATGGCTGTGAGACAGGAAGGCTCTTCTTCCTGGCCTTTTTGTTAGTCTTAGACAATGGAGTGGGGGGGCTCTCGGTGAGGAGCTGAGCGGGGGTCCCAGCATCACTGGTGTTCACCAGGTTGTTGACCGGCAGGGTGAGCGTCACGTTGCCGCCGCCACCTGTCAGCTTCACCACGTTGGCCCCGCTCTGTGCGGAGGTGGTAGTCGTACTTGACTTCTGGACAGGAGCTGGCTTGATGGGGACAGGCTTGTGGCCGGAGGGTGAGGGGGCGATGATGGCTTGGTTGGTGCCTGGGATGATCTGGATCTGGTTGGTGAGATTGGGCTGCACCTGGATGGTCTGGGAACTGTTTCCCTGGATCTGAGGGACCCCTTGGTACTGTATACTTGCACTTGACCGGCTCCCTTTGTTGATCACGGTGGGGTTCTGGATAGCAAACACCAACTGCCCTCCAGGATAGGAGGCACCCAGCTGGGAGCCCTGAATCTGAAGAATATTTCCTTTAGATGACAAGAGGCCGAAGCTATTCTTGCTGGGGCTGAGCGGGAGAGGGGCTGGCTTGATGGGGACCAGTTTCCGTGGGGTGGGCTGGGGGGGCGCAGGAGGTGCCACTGCAGCCTCCACAGCTGGGGGGCCAATTTTGCTACATGTCGCAGCCAGCAGGGCCAAGGGGGACGGCTGGGAGTCCTGCAAAGATGAGCAGAGGACAGGAGTGAGATGGGGAGGACTGGCTAGACCCTTCATAGAGATCTCCCCACCCCACCGCAGGCCACCACCAGCACCTCCGCCCACCCACTACCCACCCACTACCCACCCCTGCAGTGGTTCCTGCTCCAGGGAGTGAAGGAAAAAGACAGGGAAGGCCTCTCAGGAGATGCCGCAGAGGCAGCCCTGGACACAGCTGTCTCCCCACTGGCCTGGCTGGGCTAGTGTTAGCAGGGTCAGTGACAGAGCCCAGCTCTCGGATGGAGTTCTATGGACTTATCACAGAGCAGGCAGAGGAGGGGGCTGGGGAGGGGAGGGGACACGGGGTGACGTGCTTCCTGACTGGAGAGGGCGACAACGCAGGGGCCGCTCTCTCAAGGGCAGCAGGCTTGTTTCTGTCCTGGTGTGTTATGTACACGCATGCACATCTATGTGTGTGAAGGGGTGTGTAGGTACACATGAGTCTGGGTGTGGAGGTCTGGGATTACTCAGATTCTTAGTCCTCTCCACCTTGTTCTTTATTATTTGGGTGTTGAGTGCTTTACCTACATGTACGTCAATGTATCACTCAAGTGCCTGATGCTCTCAGAGGCCAGAAAGGGTGTCAGATCCCCTTGGACTGGAGTATGGAGATTTATGAGCTGCCATATGGGTTCTAGAAATTAATCTGGGTCCTCTGGAAGAACAGCCAGTGCTCTTTACCACCGAGCATCTCTCCAGCCCCTTCACCTTAACTTTTTTTAATTTTTAAATGATTCATTTATTTTATTTTATTTTATATACATTGGTGTTTTGCCTGCATGTACATCTATGTGAGGATGTCCAATCCTCTGGAACTGGAGTTACAGACAGTTGTGAGCTACCATGTGGTTGCTGGGAATTGAACCCAGGTCTTCTGGAAGAGTAGCCAGTGCTCTTAACTTAAGAGTAGCCAGTGCTGAGTCATCTCTCCAGCTTACCTTATTTTTTGCGACAGGGTCTCTCACTGAATCTGGAACTCACTGCTGAGCAAGACTAGTTGGCCAGTGACCCCAGTGGACCCTTCTGTCCCTGCCTCTGCAGAGCTGGGACTACAGGCATATACCACCATGCCCTGCTCTACATGGGCGCCTGGAACATGCCTGTGCGACAGGGACTTTACTAACAGCCCTGGCCTCGGGCTCTTAGCCAGGCAGCTGTCTTAGTTCAGAGAATGAGGACAAGGGGACCGTCCCGGTGTTTGCAGTGACAGTGCAGGCTCCTGAGTGAGGTGGACAAGCCACTTCAGCCATCAGCACGGCTCTGGCCCCTGCGCACTTGCCTGGGTAGTAGCGGCAGCAGGCTGCAGGTAGTCGCTGGGACTGACGGCAGCAGTGGCAGCCATGCTCATCTGTGGATCTGCTGGGAGGAAGATGGAGCAGTACGTAAGACCCCTGGAGAGGACCCCAGGCCCCTTGCCCCGGCTTTTCTTTTGGCCTCTCTTGCTGTTTCTCTGAGAAGTTTAACAGCTCGAGCATCACAGCCCGTGCCTGTCAGGGGCGACGTCTCCTTTGCTCACAATCTATTTGGGCCAGGCCTGCCTTCACCACATTGTCCCCACAGCTGGGACACTCCAGGACAGAAAGAAGGCAGTCTGTCTCAAGACTGGCTGTGGTGAGTCTGGAGCACCCCCTGGTGGACACCGATGGCTCTCTGACTCTCTCCATTAGGGGCAAAGGAGCCTCTAGCCAAGTCCTGCACTCTCTGAAGCTACCAGCTCAATCCAGCTGAAGCAAACCCGTCAGGGAGTGAGGCAAGGCTCAGCCAGCAGCACCCTGGCCCCTTTTGTCTTTGTGTGGTCCGAGCATACCTGTCCTTTTCTAAAAGCTGTATGCTCGGACCACACCAAGACACAAGGGGCCCGGGAATCAGTAGATGGCATCTGGTAATTCCTTTAAGTGAATTTACACAGGACAACTGATATGACCCCTAGTCATAAACTAGGCAGAGCTAAGAACTACATATAAGAATGAACACTGAGTAAAGCCTATTTTTGTGTATATATAGTTATATCTCAATTGTACCGTATTTTCTCATTTTCCCACAATGATTAGGGAGTTGGCCTCCATATCCACAGGTTCTATATCCACAGATTCAACCAGCCATGCACCAAAAAATGCTGACTCTACATAACATGCAGATGATTTAAAGTATATAGACGGTGTGTAGCTTATATGCAAATTGTACACTTTATATAAAACTCTTGAACATCTATGGTATTGGTATCTCCAGGGGCTCCTGGAACCAATCCCCTGTAGGTGTTAAGGGACTATTGTATCCTCTTGTAATTTTTAAATTTTATTTTTACTTTATTTGAGACAGGGGTCTTACACCGTATCTCAGATTGGCCTGGAACTCATTCCTCAGCCTCTCCCAGGCCGGGATTACAGGTGTGTGCCAGCCACCAGGTCCAGCCACTTCCTTTCAATGAAGGAGGAACTAATAAAGGAAATGTCTATCTTGCACTTAAGTTTGATTTAAAAGGTAAACAAGATTGGAGGCTGGTGAGATGGCTCAGTGGTTAGGAGCACTGGCTATTCTTCCAGAAGACCCAGGGTTCCCAGCACCCACATGGTGGCTCATAATCCTCTGTAACTCCAGTTCCAAGGAATATGATGACCTCTTCTGGCCTCCATGGGCATCGTACACACTCATGTTGTGTAAAATGTATGTGCAGGGAAAACCCTCACATACATACAATTTTAAGTAAATAAAGGTAAACAAAAGCCTGCGTGTGGTGGTGCACACCTTTAATCTTAGCACATGGGAGGCAGAGGCAGGTGGATTTCTATGAAGCCAACCTGGTCTGTCTACACAGTGAGTTCCAGGCCAGCCAAGGGCTACACACTAAGACTATTTCCAAAAAGAAAAGAAAACGGAAGTCCCAAGAATGTAGGGCAAGAGACTGCCTGCCATCATACAGTTCCCCAGTCACTAAGGCAAAGCACGCTGGGCCGAGTCCGGCATGTACCCAGACATTCGGAAAGGAAGTTCCAGGGAACAGACAGGGAAGACTGCTTAGAAGACTCGAGGGACAAAGGCTCAGTCCCTGAGCCCTCGTCAGGAATCTAGTGAGGACAGAGGGCAGGGAGAGAACACAACCATTCATGTTTTTTCAGTCCTCTGAGGGAACAGGCTTCTCAGATGGGAAAAGATAAAGGGTAAAGGAGAACCACACTGGCTGGTCGGAAGCCAACACAAGGCCCCAAGTCCATGAGCTGGCTGCCGATGCTGCCAACTGTGAAGGACAGAGGACAGCTCTGGGCAAAGTGGACATGAGATCCTAGGCCACTGCAGACACAGATGTCTGCAGTCATTGCAGCTGCTGAGGAACGACCACAGATAAAAGCATGCAGTTGCAAAACCCAGTCCTGCGATCACAGCTCAGTGCGTTAAAGGTTCCAGATGGAGGCCACCGCTAACATCGAAATGCTCCTAACAGTTTCGTGAGCAAGGAGGGAAATGAAGGCAGCAGGGTGCTAATACAGTTTGGGGGCTAAGGGTTGGGGAGGTATGAGTCAAGCTATCTCCAACGCAGGCTGGGGCTCAGGACCAGGGACTGAAGGCTTCTCAGGTCTTTTTACTGTCATGTTTTCCTCAAGGTATTTGCCCTTTTATTTTATTTTTTTAATTTATTTACTTACATTATGATTCATAACAATAGCAAAGTTACAGTTATGAAGCAGCAACAAAATAATCTGATGGCTGGGGGTCAGCACAGCATGAGCAGCTGTATTAAAGGGTCGCAGCATGAGGAAGGTTGAGAACCACTGAGTTCGAGGTTAAACAGAGCCTACTACTGATGTAAGCTGTAGGCTGCTGGGGCTCCCGGCTGCACTATCTCAGTTCGGTTTCATTCTCCTCCCCAGCAGGCTCCTGAAATACTTCTTTAGTCTAAGACCACCGTAAGTGCTCTCCTGTGGTCACCAAGAGCTTTATGTGGCCCCTGGGCTGCGACCTGGTCCATCAAAACAGAACCATTTCTCTGCAGAACTACAGACTTCTACTCTGGAAAGAGAGAGAGAAGGGAAAAGAGCAGCACTTCCAGCTGGTGTGTGGAAAGGAAAGTGGTTAAGAAGAGGGCACACCCGTAACCGTAGTTCTCTGCGCAGCCTCATTTAATGTGGAAGCTCGTGTTTAAAATGTGTAATGCTTACCTCTCCCTCCATGCTACTCAAAGCACTGCTAAGTGGGAGACGAGGGCGCAGAGGGACTCGTGGAGGTAATTCTGTAACTGCTTCACACCACTTCCACTATGGACACACTTTTCTTTTTGTGCTCGGGGTTGGGCCCAGGGCCTCCTCACATACGTGGGGCAATGCTCTACCCCTGAGCTATCTCCAGCACATCCACCATTTTAACAGTACCACTGGCCGCTAACAGCAGCTTATATTTGGTCATTGAAGCCTACATTTATTTAGCAATATGGGCAATAGGGACGGCTGCATATCCCTTCTTTTTCACATGGATTTATCTTGTGTGACATGCATAGTGACACGTGAAAGCTCGAGAACAAGTTGGGAATCAGTTCTTTCTATCATGTACGTTCCAGGGACTGAACTTTGGTCACGAGGCCAAATCCTCGTGGATGGCAGCAATCCCCTTATATCCATACATTACACACCCTTACTGACTATTCTGAAAGTAAAAAGTGCGTATCTCTCAGGGATATCATTTGGATCTTGTCATTAATTCATTTCAGGTAAAACTTCCCTAAGTCTCTAGGCTGACGTCAGCAGAGATCGATGATGCAAGCATAGACCAGTACACCTCAGCCCTAAGGAAAAGTCCGGAGGGGTTGGACAAAGCAGCAGGAGGAAGGAGTATCCGGTGACAGAGGGACCAGAACAGAACCCCAAGACTGACAGAAAAGCACCTCGCTTCCAGACTCTCACCATCACCTTCCCCCTCCTCGGCTAAACTTGGTCCCCTCCACGTCTCCGTCCAGCCCATTCTCGGCGGGCTCGTCTACCCAGGTCACCAGAGACCCCTTGGCTTCTACAGCAACAAACCTCTCGATGGTTGCCTCCCCTTGTAAACTCCCGTGGGCTCCTCTTCCTTTGCCACCACTTAAATGCAGGCATTCTTCAACAAGGGTCCCTCCTCCTCACCCAGGATCCCTTCCTTGGGGGTCAGTGTCCACTTACAGAGCTTCAGACAGTGTCGCAGAGGTTGACACTCCCAGGTATGGGTCAGCTCCGCCCCCTATGGGCCTTCATCAGGCCAGCCAGACACTCCCAACCTGAGCGTTCCCTCCAGGCTTGTTCTTCTTTCTCCTCCCCAGCCTCCACAGGCCTGCCTGCCTGTAAGAAGCAGGGGCTTATCTCCGCTGCCCTTCCCTTGCTCAGGGCTTTTCTGTCGTTTCAAGCAAATGCTTTGACAGCCATCTTGTAACACGTATAGCCTGTCCATGGGGTCCTTTTCCGGACTGAGATGAAGTCAAGTCCTTTGCTAGCATTCAGCACCCCTTACAGCGATCGTGGGCCTAAGGTATGGGGGCAAGGCCCTGCTCTTCAGTAAGCAGGGTCTGTACCCAGCTGCTGCTCCCAGACCCCGGTACAGGGGCAACTGCAGTTCCTGGGGAGAGGGGAAGAGCACAGGAATCTTTGGAATGTAGCTTCTTTCTGGCAGGTCCACTCACAGCAGAGCCCTGCACATCCACCTCCTGCTGGGGAGCTAGGTCCTGGGGACTCCTCTCCTCCATAGAAGTCTCCTCCTCACTAGTCCCATGGCCCTGGTCCTGGTTTCAATCACCCTCCCTCAGCCTGAACTCCCACCCACAGCCTCCAGGGCAGCTTCCAGCCTCTGGCCCTCTCTCCCCCTTTACCTAGTCAGAACACTTCTGGAAGACTACCTCTGTGAACAGAATCCTACGCAGCCACTCCCCTGGCTACACCCTCCCAGTTTCCGAAAGCTCTTTGGATAAGTTTAGAGGAACCAAGCACTGAGCCTCCTCCCTGTCCCTCCCTCCTCCCTGTCCCTTCCTCCTCTCTCGCATTCTTTCTCTTCCTGGGAGCCTGAGGCCTGGGCTCCCCCTTTGGCGTTTCTAACCTCTAGAGGTTGTTTCTGTTACTCTAGAAGCAGATGACCTTGCCGGGTGCCCGAGTACACTCCCCGTGGCACCCTTGGCAATGCTGGCCTCACCACAGGGTAGGGAGTGTAGCTCTATCCCGGGGCAGGGGGTGTCTGTCTTCCTCTGGCAGACTGGCTTGGGACAGCATGATCTAACAGGAAGGACCCTAGAGCCCTGGTTATCAGGCTGTCCCAGGCTAGAAGAGGCTCAAAGTCCACACCAGACCCTAGGCTGTTGGTTTTTGGTTTGTTTTTTTAAACCTTCACAGCTATGGCTTCCTTGGCCCTCTACTATGGCACTCCCAGCAGGAACCTCACTCTGTGCAAACAGTCCTTCTGGTGGCTATTCTGGTCAGTCTGACTGGGCCAGAAGCCAGTAAAGCAGTTTCCAAGGCCAGGCTTCCCCGTTGCTTAGCCTGGAAGAATTCAGAGCTGGAAAGAGAAAAGCGAACCACGGCTGGTTTTCTAGAACAAAACTGGACCTCCGGGGAAAGCGGCGAGTCAGCCTGTTAAAAGTGGGGGGAGCAAGCTTGGCTGTGCCAGGTCCAAACTGCCAGGACCACTCAACACCCAGCAGCCACAACACAGGACAAGGCCGCTCATGCCTGGCCCTGCAGAGCAGCTCTGGGGAGAGGATGCTAATGCCACAGGCCAAAGGGAAGAACAGAGATCTTCTCCACCCTCGCTCCGACCCCAACTGAGCATGACCCTGAGATGGACACTCGACGTTATCAAGAAGTTACACTTCCTTTCTGAGCTGCGATTCCTAACCTCTTCTCTCAAACAAAACTCCTCAGTCACCGTGTGCAGACAGCTCCTTACTTCTGTGGTTCAACTTAACACGTTTTTTTCACATTTCAATCATACTTTATTGGTATATACACGTGTGCACATTTGTGTATGGCTACACACCTGCCATGGCTAACATGTGGAGGTTCTCTCCTGCCATCATGTGGGTCCTGGCGATTGAACTCAGGTTGTCAGACTAACCCTGACATGACAGGCACTGGGCAAACACCTCCAAGCACTGAGCTAACCTGTAGGCCTCCAACTGAACTTTCCAACGTGATATAGTACATGAAAGCATACTCATAATTATGTTTTCTACTTTTAGTATAGTACTCAATAAGTTACATGGTAGTCAACATTTCATTAAAAAAAATTAACTTTGTGCCGGGAGGTGGTGGCAAAGCAACACAGAAACCCTGTCTCAAAAAAAAAAAAAAAAGAAAAGAAAAAAACTTGTGGTAAATGATTTTGTCCAACTCTCAGCAAACCCAAGAGGTCTTTCTTTTTTGAGACAGGTTGTACTCATGTAGTCCAGGTTCAAATTCACTATGGCGCCAAGGTTGACCTTGAACTCATGATCCTCCTGTCTCCACCTCTAGAGTGCTGTGAATACGGATGTGCCTGACTATGCCCTAGTCCCCCCACCCCCATACCTTTGTTTTCCAGACAGTGTTTCTCTGTGTAGCCCTGGCTGTCCCGGAACTCACTCTGTAGGCCAGGCTGCCTAGAACTCAGAGATCCGCCCGCTTCTGCTTTCCCAGTGCTGGGATTAAAGGCCTGGGCCACAGCTGGAGGAGTTCCTGCAGATTTCTGCAGATGTTTTGATTCCGGGAGTGTTAGCACCTAACTTTGACTACCTGCCTTTTGTGATTGCTACCTCCTGTCTCCAGAACCTTCTGCTTGAAGTCTTATCTGAGAGTTTCCTAGGGGTTCAAAGCCCACGCAGAACTTGGTTGTGGGAGGACTGGATATCTTTTAACTGAGAATTTGCATTTGGCACTGTCCCTTTGGGGGGACTTAGAGGTTTTGGTATAGGAACTGACTTGTTAAAGGTGTGAATTGTATAACAATAAAAGGTCTTTGCTAAGCTACAGTGAGTTAGTCCATGAGAGATTTATCTCCCTGCAACTGGAAAGTCTAAAATTTTCATCCTTAGAGTGCCTCTGTACCTTCTGTCCATGGAACCAACGAACCCCACCAGACATACAACAAGCCATCACGCCGGGTTTGCAAACCCAGGGCTCCGTTCATGCTAGGCCAGCATTCTTCCAATGGAACGATCCCCCACTCTGATCTTTGGAAGGCTGGGTCTATTAAATGCATGTTTGACTTCCACTCTTTTCAACTCACTACAAATTTATCCAACAACAGCCTCATCCTAAGCCAAGGATGTACTTGCTGTTCCTAATTACTCCCAACAGTCATTCCTGAACTTGGCTCTAACCAGGTTGTACCACCCCATCATGCTACCAAAATTGCTAATGCTACCAGACCTCATGTTACCGAATCTAATTGCTAACTCCTAGACCTGAGCCCCCATCTTTTGGGATCTGACAGCTAACTGTTCTTGCTTCTGGAAACACTCTTTGATGGTTCCCAGTCAGCCTCCCACCTTGCGGGCTACTTCTAAGTCCCTGATGGTCCTCTCCTTCACCTTCTCAGCAGTTAGGCCGCCCAGACTCCACTCCAGGACTTGTATTTCTTCTTTCTCTGCCTATTTTCTAGGTGATCTCACCTACTCTCATGGCTTTCCATACTACACAGATACTAGATAACGATGGTGGCGCCTGAGCCTGTCTGCAGACTTTCTCCTGCGTGATGCTGACACCTTCACTTGGACAGGTTAGAGGGTATCTTGACTCTAAGCAGCCCTGAATAGTGCTGCTGATGGCTTCCAATTCCATGCTTCCTTCAAAGACTGCCCACTGCAGTGAATGCTCCCTCCATCCTTGCAGCTGCTCAGTCCTAAAACCTTGGAATTCTCCTTGACTTTCGTTTTTCTCACACGCGAGAGCAAACACTCCCAGCTCTAACTTCAGAGCACACTCCAAACATGACTGTGTTCACCACCTGCTGCTGTCATCACCTAGATCCATGTCTGTACCTAGTCAACTGAGAAGGGCCCCAGCTGTCCTAACCTTGACCCTGTCGGTCCACTCTCAGCACAGCAAACACAAATGAAGCCACCTCACTCTTCTGCTCAGAGGCCCAACAGCAGCATCCCATCAGAGCCGAGCTCCAGCGTCACACAGGCCTGTGTCACCGGACTTCCGCCCGCCCTCCAGCCATGCTGTCTTCCCCAAAGCTCCTGGTGCTCTTCCTCTTCCTCGCCAGGTCCTTCCTTCTGCTTGCGTTCACCGCCTCCCCTCACTCTAGACAGAACCAGTTCAACCCCTTCACCCTTTAGGGTTTCATGAAGTCACTTTCTCCTAACCCCCTGTGTAAACTGCCTCTCCCACACATTTTCCCTACCCTCTCTCTTCTATTTTTATCTTTAGACTTACCACTTTTCAACAAGTACTTATTAGCTACTTAATTACTGTCTCATTAAGAATGCAAATGTCCTAAAGGCAAGGGTTTTTCTTTTACTCACTGATGTAACTATGTAACCTAGCACACAGCTGGAGCTTTACATACTTGTTTAATAAACTCGTGAATTAAATGAATCCTGAAGGAATGCAGAGAAAGAGAGTCTAAGTGGAGTTTAAGAACCAGAGGAGGAGCCAGGCGGCAGTGGCACACACCTTTAATCCCAGCACCCGGGAAGGCAGAGGCAGGTGGATCTCTGTGAGTTCAAGGCAGCCAGGTCTACAGAGTGAGTTCCAGGGCAGCCAGGGCTACACAGAGAAACACTGTCTGGAAAACAAAAAAATAAGCAGACAAAAGAAGAACCAAAGGAGGGCTGGAGTGTGGTTCAGCTGCTAGAGTGCTCTCCTAGAGTGCTCTCCTAGCGTGCTCCAAGCCGGGGTTCCACCCCAGTACCCACTAACACAAGTGTGATGTGCCTGTAGGAGCTGGAGCAGAACAACACTTCGAGGAAGCAAGTCAACTCCAGATTACAGCTCCAAGCTACACTCTGATACCCTTTCCAGTTAGCACATGCATGGACATTCGTGAAGACCGTGAGAGCATCTGAATGCACACTCCTGGTCTGTCCAGTTCTGATTCTCTTCCTCCATGCATGACTATTGTCACTCCCAGTTTGCTTATTGCCTGGGTCATAGGTCATCGATGTGGGGGCAACAGGGTACGACAGGAACACTTCAGCATGATGGAAGCAGTCCCAGGAAACCATGCAAAGCTTTTCTGCTTAAGAATATTGGGACTACGGGCTGGAGAGATGGCTCAGAGGTTAAGAGCACTGGCTGCTCTTCAGAAGTCCTGAGTTCAATTCCCAGCAACCACATGTTGGCTCACAACCATCTATAATGAGATCTGGTACCCTCTTATGACCTGCAGGTATACATGCAGGCAGAACACTGTATAGATAATAAATAAATAAATCTTGAAGAAGAAAAAAAAAGAATACTGGAGCTTAAAACTCTGTTGCAGCTAACAGGAGAAATGCAAGCAACCCCCACCACCACCACCAAGAATCTCCTGATGCACAAGCTTGCTGCCTTCTCTGCTTTGGCTTGTATTTGTGAGTCACTCTCCTCGGAGCTCTCCCAGGCTAGGATTAGCTTCTGAAAGGAGTAGTGACTTCATTTCCCTGGAGAAGAGAGGGAGGCTAGCCTGCTACTTGCTCTTCTGAAGCCTGGGAAATGTCTTCATCTGATTTTTGGTTTTTCTTTCTTTAATTTCCAAATTAAACATAAACCAGAAGCAGAACTATTTCACTTCCAATCACATGACCCGGCTAGCTGTCTCATAATCCCTATTCACAGTCTCAGGAGCCACTCTGGGGTTTTACCAAATCCCAGGAGAGGTGACAACCCCGTGAGAAAGTTCTAGAAAGACATTTAGAAATGTGCACTGACTCCTGACTCTTCCTGAGCCACTTCTGTCCTGTGGCTGAGATGAATGGCACCTGAAGAACCTAAATCAGCACACAGAGGCAAACTGGCATCTCAGAGGACTTAGCTTTGGCCACCCAAGCCAAAGCTCTGCACAGCACAGCAGCTGCTGGCTGGACACACACGCAGTCCTGGCGCGGAAACGGAAGGCAGAGAGGGGAAAGAGATGTCGTCTATCACCCACTCCAATGGCTGGGCTTCCCAGCAGGCCTGTGCTGTACTGTGACAGCCCGGACAGCTCAGCACTTGGCGCAAAGCACCAGGCACAGTCCCGTGCTAAGCACTGGCTCATCTCACTAGAGCACGCTGGCCTGGGCACGCTTGAGGAGAGGCACAGTGACACCGGTGACAGTGACAGAGCCTTCCTTCCCAAACATGTCCTCAAAGGTCAGGCTGCCCCAAGGGCTGGTGCCGGCTCTCAGCTTGCTCCGACGCTGGTTGTGTTTTCCTTCAGGATCCCATGAAGCAGCAGAAATTTTTCTATTTCACCATTTGTCAACGGAACAAATCCGCCATGACATGGGGGCGTCTCCTCGAGAAGGACCCCCCCAGTCCCATTCCTACTGAGCCTTACAGTCACACTCAACCTTCCCACCAGGTTCCCACAGAATTCTGATGGCAGTGTGAAACCCCTGTGCCCTGGGGCCCTCAGGAAAGCTGCCCACGAAAACATCTGTTAGTCATGGAGACAGCACCTTAAGACACAGACCTGCTACCACATTTGAGAAACAAAGACCTGAGCTCCAGCTGAAGAGAGGAAAGGAGAAAGAACTACAGGAGGCAGATGAGCCATGCGGGAATATTCATGACAAAAGCCACCAAGAGCTTGTGACACACCACATTTCTCAACCTAGAAACGATATTTGGTCCACCCTGTAGGTAAAATTTCCTTGTTTTCATTTTTATTTTTTTGAGACAAGGTCTTGCTATATAGCCCAGGCTAGCCTGCAACTCACTAAGTAGCCTAGGGTGGACACAAACTCTCAATCTTCCGACCTCAGTCTCCCCTGTGGTAGGGTTAGGGGTGGATCACCATACCCAGCCTGGGTTCCGGGTTTAGAACAAACTGGGAAGAAACTCACAAATCCTTTAAGTCACCCAAAAAGACAGTCCAGACACGCCACCCAATAACATACAAGGAAGTGGATGACCTTCTCCAAACAGATTACTCCAAGTTCACAGCCCACAGGCTTAAAATTAGGCCAATAATCCTATCAACTCAGACGTGTTCACTTTAGAATAAGCCATCAATCTTTACAGCAATGTCCCTCTGCCTCTTTCCACTCTGTGGCCATTATCCACTTGACCCAATAATTACTAATATTTTCAGTGTCTGGAAGCAGGGTTTCCCTGTAGATGAAACAGAGATGGAATAAAGGTAACTTAGAAAAAAATGGCCCATTTCTAGCACAGAAATGGGAGGGGTCAGGGTCTAGAAAACTGCTGAGCCCACATCAATACCAGAATCTACTGGCAAGAAGCTTTAAAAGTTGTTCTAAGGACCATGGTTGGGCAATACTTGCTTAAAGTAAGCTTGGGGATTGCCACATACCTCTATGGTCAAGGACTGGTCACTGCTTAGTACAAGAGACGATAACTTCTCCAAAACACTTAAGCACCACAACAACTAAGAGGTTCAAGACCCAAATACTAACTTCCCTACCTGCTAGAAAGGCTTGGGCTTCTAACCCAGACATCTGCCATCATCTTTTTCCCCCCGCTTCTCTCCTGTTCCACAGGTCCAAACTCCCACACGCCCCGCCCCGCCTCGCGTGTGTGTGTGTGTGTGTGTGTGTGTGTGTGTGTGTGTGTGTGTGTGTGTACACTGTAGAAGTTGTTTCTCTCCTTCTACTAGGTGAGCCCCAAGGATGATGAGCTCAGGTAATCAGACTTGGAGCAACTGCCTTTACCCACTCCATCATCTCACTGACCCAGGCCCAAACTTTAAACCAGATCTAAGGAGAACCAGTCTCCGTGATGTCTGCAGGGATGCCAGAGCCAGGGGAAGGCAGTCATGAGCAAACCCTAGTTAGCTCTCTTTGGCTTTAGCAGCTAGCTCAGGGCTCATAATAGTGTC